GAATGGATTGTTGTCACTTTTTTCACGTTTTGAATGAATTGTTTCTTTTATTTTTATGTATAGTTAATAACCGAACCAAACCAAACCAAAATCGAAAACAACCAAACCGATAAATGTATATTATATTTGGTTTGGTTTGATTTTGATAATTTTAAAACCGATTAAGTTGGTTTGGTTTTGATTTTGACCAATAACCGACCCAAACCAAACCGTGAACACCCCTACACACAAGTGCAGCAACAAAAACATTGAAATTAAACAAAAGAAAAAGAAAAAATAAACGACTTGAAATGACGAGTGCCTAATAATAATATTTTGTTACGTGTATCAGCAAAAATCCAGAACTGTTTGACAAACTCAAAAAAGGCCAGGAACCCAAGGTACAAGATCCCGTTTGAAAATAAGTGATATTTTAAATAATTAAAAAATACATTAATGATGTTATTCCAATTTTATCGTTTGAGTGTTTTACGTAACCAACAAACTACTGTACAATTTTTGGTGTTTGCGTGCTCGGATTCACGAGTGAGCCCAACCAATATCCTCAACTTTCAGCCCGGTGAGGCTTTTATGGTTCGAAACATAGCCAACATGGTCCCTCCTTATGACAAGGTCATTATACATAATTAATTCCCTAGCTATAATAATTAATTTGGTTAATTATTTACCTAATTTTAATTAATTTATATTGGATTTGGCATTGTAACAGCTTAGGTACTCGGGAACTGGAGCTGCCATCGAATACGCTGTTCTCGATCTTCAGGTAGAAAATATTCTAGTCATTGGTCACAGTACCTGTGGAGGTATCAATGCCCTCATGAGTCTTCCACAAGATGGTTCTGAATCAACGTATGTATCGTTATTTAAGTTATATACACTCAACCTGATGACTAATTGAATAAATTAATATACGGTATATGTGATGATATTGCAGTGAATTTATTGAGAATTGGGTGAAAATTGGATTACCTGCCAAGGCCAAGGTGCTAACTGAGCATCCAAATATAAGTTTTGAAGAACAGTGCAAATACTGTGAGAAGGTAAAATAATGTTTTGATCTAATAGTGTGTACGTCATGTGTAAAAGTCAACTAGTACTACTTTATTGATTAGATATGTATACTAGAAATAATGGAAATGAATAAACTGCAGGAAGCTGTGAATGTATCACTAGCCAACTTGCTGACCTATCCATTTGTGAGAGATGGTTTGGTGAATAAAAAATTGGCATTGAAGGGAGGTTACTATGATTTCATTAAAGGAGAATTTAAGCTATGGGGACTTCACTTTGGTCTTTCTCATCCTTGTTCTATCTGAATATATTCAACTACCATCTTTCTAGTGGGAGAATAGTGACACCTCTTGCTCTTTCTTTTTCTTCGTATTGTATTCATCTATATAGTTCAGAAAATGTCTAAATAAAATAGAGGGTGGATTCTCCCATTTTATGGTAGAAGACAAGTGGTGAATTGTCTTTGTAATAATGACTATGTTCGTTGTATTTGTGACGGGGAAAAACCTCTTTATCTTTATGAGTTATAGGTAATGTTTACGTACGTTCTACCCATTTGGGTATGTTGTTGTAATAATGACTCTGTTCTGCAGAGGGAATTGGAATAAATAATATTGGAGCAACTAATTTGTTTTACTACTAGTTCAGTAAGTGTGGTCATAGTGATGATTTTCCTTTTGTCTTGGGCTTATTATTGGGTGAAAAATGTGGTGAACAATAATACTGCACTGCACTGGCCAGTCTTAGGAGTGGAATCAATTCACTAGACGTTACAGTAGTCAAGCTCTAGCTGACGGAGCAAGGCCAAGGGCTGTTATTTCAAATTCAACAAAGTCTTAAAGAATAATATAGGGTTGGGGTTCTATTATCCATCGATCTCATCTACCGAAATCATTTCATTAAGAAAAAAGTAAAAACATAGTTGTCTTGCTTACTACCTCCCATTCCCCCACTCTATTAACCTAAACTCCTTTTAATATTCGTGCATCCAAGCCTTGACTCTTTTCAATATTCGTGCGTCCAAGCTAGATGAGCAAAATTACGGCCCACACATTATGAACAAGGCAATTATTTTCTTAGTATATGATAATTACTTGTGAAGGCAATTTGTATAAAAATGGACCAACACAATATAACTTGTGAAATTGTAATTTTCTATTGTTCTACTCGTTGTAACTTTATAAAAATTATTTTAGCATAATTTCATAAGAAAGGGGTTAAAAATTATTTTAGCAAATTATATTTATATTATAAAAAGTATACATTACTTTAGAAAATAGGCTAAAAAAGATTGTTGACACATAGGGACACAGTGCGTCGTTCTTCAACTGTATTTCGGTCTGATAATTTGAAAATGAAGATTTAGGACGTGGTAGTTAATTTCATATGCCACGTCACTGAATCGGCGTCCATTTGAAAGCTGAAACAGTCGCTGTAAGAAGAGGAACTCCCGGGCAAAGATTCTGAGATTTCGGAATTTCCCTAACCGCCTTTTTTTGCTTCTTCTCTACTTCGATTCATCGGTAATTTTCGGTGTTCACTTCACTGTAATTTGCATAGCAAGTGAGAAAAAAAAGAGTGAGAGATGGGGAACTTGTGGTCGGCCGCCGTAGAACCTCCACCGCCTATGGTCTTAGTTCCGCCGCTCTTCGATTTTCCTCCTCTCGCCGCCCGTACAAGGTTATTCTAACCTCTATTCTCAATTATCACTATTTATTTTGTTTGATATGTTCCTTACAATTTGCTGGGAAATCGAATCCTCACCTTCACCCTCACCAACATTATTAAGTTTAAGTTTAGATAGTGAACTAATAATTTCCATTTGAATGCTAGCTTCAATTTGGGAAATCGAACCAATTTTTTGCCTCTTCGTACAAGATTTAGTTATATATGATGGTCTTTGTGCGGTGTAGGATGCTGGAATCATCATATAACATGTTGTTTGGGAAACTGGCATTGAGATGCCTTTTTGAGGATTATTTCGAGGAAGCTAGGCATTTTAGCACCAGAATTATGCTTAAGCCAATTGATGATCCACACGTTGATTTGATTGCAACTGTATCCATCTACATTCTTATGAATTTGGTTATATTAGTAGCTTGTATGAGTTATATCCCTCCAGGTCTCAGTCTTTTCAATTCTTTTTATTTTGGCAATGTGCTTGTGGGCATTGGTCTGGAAAATGTTGGGAAATTTTTCATACCATAATTCACTATTAAGAGGCAAGAGCAGCTTCTACTTGGAAAGGTTTTGTTGCTGGTCAATTCGAAATATGTAGCTTTGCGATTTCGATTGTCTACAGAGAGACAGATTTAACATTTTTAAGTCAGTGGCTGTGGACTACCATAATATCCATTATTCCTTTGTGACTATGTTTTGAACTTAGCATAATTATATGTTTTTAAGGTTCTTCGGTAATATATATATATGTTAAATTGGTCGAGCTGAAGTTGTAGATGTGCCACACATGCAGTCTTCATCCCCCGCGGATTGTCAAGGTACTAGTGTGCAAAATTCACCTTCCTCAGTAGTTTATGTGTTTTCACAAATTTAGTTCTCAACTTCGTCAACTGTATCTTCTCTCTTGTAAAAGATTACCTTAGGCCTTGACCTGTGTTTTCCATCAAGTTGTCTATGGACAGTATATTGGGTATAGTTTTAACATTTTCCTTGCCTCATGACGGGTTAACTTGACAAGAAACAAAGTTTTTCCTTAGCTTGCTTAGGTTGGAGGCCCGCTTGATCACAAGCCTGAGGAGAAAATTGTAGGAAATGCACAATTTCGGTGGCAAAGGTATTCTTATCTTTTGCTTTAATTTTATTTTGGCTTCTTGAAGATTTATTATCTTCGTGATGTGGTTTTTTGCACATGGTAAACTTCTTGATTATCTCTGAAAGTGCAAATTGTGTTCCAGTGATGTTGAGGATCCACATACGTTTGTCGATCTTTTCGTATCAAATGATGATCCGTAAGTCTAAATCACTTCCCTAAGAAGTTTCTTTTCTTTCTTTAGATTGAAAAACAACAGTACCATTGTTCTTCCATTTGCTTCTTTTCTAGGACACTGCTGATGAGATCATGTGCATTCTACCCTAAATTCGGGTTTGGAGCTTTTGGCATTTTCCCAGTGCTTTTAAAGAATAGGTTGGTTTGATTCTGTTATAGACCGGGATGTCAGAGTTGTTTGTCTAGACTTGTGAACATGTATTGACTGATATATGATCATTTTGAATGTCCAGAGTATCTTCACAAGATTATGGAGTCATGGGTTTGAGATATGGCTCATCAAATCTCTCGGTTGGAGCTACTCTTATGCCTTTCGCTTGTATGTGACATGCAATGATTAAATTACTAAGTTTTATGTTCATACATAATGAGACCTGTTGTTGCTTACATGAACTTTCTTTTACTAAGTTTTCTGGTCTGGACATTCCTTTTTATCAGCTGTGAGTGGAATAATCTTTTGCTGTTTCTTGTTTAATTCATAAGTGGACTAATGAATGTTGGTGCAGTGGGAGATGATGTTCCCAAAAGTGCATGGCTGGTGAGCAAGATGGGAAGGTTAACCACCGGGGTGCAGTATGAATCACAGTGTAATTTTCTTGGACTCTACCACTGACTTAATTTCCTTGGTAAAGAGATATTCATTATTAAGTCACTAGTAAACAAGATACACTCCTGATTGGAAAAATTGATTTTGTGCTGATTAATTCAACAAAATAAGATGTCTTATTCCTGCCTTATATGCGTCACATATCTGACCTTTGTCTACCAATAAAATAAGATGTGTAATACATGTCTCTAATCATGTGCAAGGAACCCATTTGCTGTGAACATGCATGGCCACTTCACATGGTGGAAGTGCTTTAAGCTTATTTCGATGTTTTATAGGGTAAAAGCTTGGGTATCTAAGAGAAAATGTTCCGTTACAGTTCATAAATTGCTTCTTAACCCAATGATGCATGCATGCATAGTGAGTGAGAGAGAGAGAGAAGAATAACTCAAAATTCATATGGGACAGTATTTTTATTGGTTCTGTTTACTATTGATAGTTGGAAGCAAATATGACCAAAAGTTTAAGAACTTAGAAAATTGGAGCTGTGCTATTGGCTACGGAGTGGGATCAGGCAGCCCTTTGAGCCCATCCTTCAATTTTGGCCTTGAGCTTGCGAAAAGTTCACAGGTTTGTTGCATTTCCTTATTTCAGTGGTTTGCTAAGATCTCTTTTGTGATAATTTTCTGCACTACCGCAAAACCCTTGTTCTCATTTGTTGCTATAGACTTTTGGGCCTATTTCTAGACCCATTTTTGGTTGGTTCAGGAGAATATTTTATGAAGTTTTATTGTGCTAGATACTAGTTGGTTATGCACTGACTATTGTTTTCGATTGCATATTTTGTAATTTGTACCTGGGGCATACTTCTAATATTAAATATTTTTTTCTGCAGTTTATTGCTTCATTCTATCAACATGTGGTGGTTCAAAGACGGGTATGCTTCTCTTCCTTAAGGAAGTGTCATTCAGGATGTTTAGCATCATTGTTTTTAAATGCAATTTGGATTTGCGTCAAGGCGAATTTATTTTGGAAGTATTGTCTATTTTAATCAGCAGCATGTGATGATAAAAGTGCAATTTTGCTGAACGATCCACTAGAATTATGTTGCATAATATGCCACTAACTCCTCCTTTTATCTTGGATTTAGATATTTGTTATAGTTAATCTGTTTTTACGCCTATTTAGTACATACACTATGTTCTCTGGGTCTTGGCAAGTTTTCCTTTTCTGCTGATTTGTCAAGTTTTCCAATTCTTCAGGAGTGATGTGCAATAGACAATCTGGAAAGCAAAATAAGTACACAGGAAAATCATAGAGGTCATACCACTAATCAGATTAGAAACGTGGTTTCGCTGTTAGTTTTCCGAAAAATACAGAGGCGATAAAAGTTTTTATTAATGTAAAAAGCTTTAATATGAGATCTCTGGTTTTGATGAACATCTAATTTGAAAAAAGAAACAGAACAATGTGTGGTTGGTTATTTTGATTTACGGCTTTTGACATTATTCTAGAAGTTTTCTGTGCTTCATTAAAGGTAGTACTAATACAAGTAATTTATATAATATCAGGTGAAAAATCCACTAGAAGAAGACGAAGTAGTTGGAATTACTAACTATATAGATTTCGGGTTTGAGTTGCAGACAAGGTATTCTGAGATAGTGTAGCAAGCTCTACGCTGGCCAGAGTAGAGTAGGATCTGACTTGGTTGTAAACTTTTGTGGCAGTGTAAATGATGAGAAAGCTCCGGCCATCAGCATCCACGATTCCACTTTTCAAGTTGCTGCATCTTGGCAAGCTAATAAAAACTTTTTGGTCAAGGTAATCACCTTCTGGATTTTCTCTTTTGCATACTAACCAAAACCAGGGGTAATAACTGCAAATGTTACTTCCACAGGGAAAGGTGGGGCCTCTAAGCTCATCTGTAGCTTTGGCGTTTAAGTCATGGTGGAAACCTTCCTTCACTTTCAATGTTTCAGGTAATAATGATTTATGCTACACATATAACATAATCAAAGAGTGTATTTATTTTACTGTTGTAATTTTTAGTTTATCCCGCCCCTGAACACTAACTGTATCACAATATGTGCTAAAACGATATCGTGAAAGAATAATTTAACTGTTGGATTTTCATGCCAACTGGTGTCTGCCCTTCTCATATTAAGAAGTATAGATCAGAAGTGTTGAGCCTCAGTGGCTGATGATATCTGATAATCACTTTATGTTGGTTGACAGCTACTAGAGATCGGGTAAAAGGAGCAACAGCCTTTGGATTTGGCATTCGTGTTGACAACATTAGAGAAGGAAGGTTGGTTATCCTTCAGTTGTATATTGAGTCCATATATATTTTCACAATTAGTAGATATCACCAATTGTACTGCCAGCAAGCTACCAAAAGCTGGCTGACAATTTCCTTTAATGGAGAGGCAGGAATCGTTACCAAGTGTAACTTGTCCAGTAGATATCATAGGAACTTCTTGAAAAGATTTCTTAGTTCTCGATATCTTTGAAATTGCAGCTATCAAAGGGCTGATCCAAACTTTGTAATGCTGACACCAACCAAGGAGCACTTGGCAGAAGGCATACACTGGAAAGTTGGGAAGAGACCATTACTTCAATCTGATGTGAATTCTGGGAATTTTGATGGCATGCCTAGGGAATTAAGACCATTTGGCAAAATGTTGTAGTCTCATTTGATTTTTCAACTTGTCATTCTTATAGCTTTTGAGTAGTAGCCTCTGCGGTGCCATAGCACAAAAACTTTGTGCTATTCTTTTTCATCTTGTTTAAACAGTTTAATCTGGTTAGATAGTATACACATGAAAAGTGCTCTCTAGTTTTGTTCTGGAGGACGACTATGGTTGTTCTGCCTCTTATCTAGGTGGTTGTTCCAATTCATTAAAGCAGAATACATTGGTGTAAGCGTCTAAAGTTTCAATCCCTGAGATCCATTAGATAATGAACTATTGGTTTTAAGTCATCTCTGACGATTAATCAACAATTCGAAGTGCCTTTCTTGCGTATTCTTGATAAACCAGCGTTTATATATAGATGTAGGACGATCCGTTTGGGAAGTAAGACAGCAAACAGAAAAGGAAAATAGCAAGCAAACTAATCTTTATAAAATCTTTAAGAAAAAGATATATAATCCCCTGATTCTTCTCTTCACGGATGTTCTTGATTTGGTGGAATACTTGCGGCCGATATGTTCTTGATTTGGTGGAATACTTGCGGCCGAAGAGCAAGGATGCTTTATGTATTTCTATGTGTATGTATGTGTGTATATGTTGGTCTTATGAAGACCTCTTTATATAGGCTTGAGCTAGGGCTTTAGGGGTATTTTGGTCCGAGCAATTTTGACCCCAGGGCCTAAGAACATGAGTTGGGCTCATCTTGTCAACTTAATGGATTGACCCAGATATAATTTGGATTTGATTTAAGTCATATAATTTTGACTTAAATATTAATCCGACTTTATTAACCAGTAATTTGGTCAACGTATCATAAATTTAAGATTTAATCCAAATTTAGTATGAATTTATCAATAAAATTTCACTGTCTACAATCGGAATTCCTTGAACTCGACATGTTTTATTCAATGTATACCTGCATTATTATTGTAGGTTCTAATTACCTTCCTGAACTTGGCAACGTGATGTGATAAAGAGCGTGAATAAACTCGATCTCTTTTAAATGCATAATATTGATAAAAATTGAAAAATCAGCTTCTAAGGGATTATCTTTCAACTATTAATTGTCACTAATAAAAATAAACAAATGCAAGCGTTTAACACATTTCCATCGTTTGCAAGAACTTTTTTTTCCCTTTAAAATCTAATAACTTGAAAAAACTAATCTCATACTATGCTTTTACTTTTAGCAGCTCTCTGTAGAAGCAAGAAAGAAGAGATATATAATACAACAAATAAAGAATTTTGCAATAATTATTTAGCGGTAATAATAAATATGATATTTCTAACCAACATTTTATATAATGCCAGTAGAAATTTTAGCGCCTCTAAATATAGTAATATTAATTCAATTATTGTTAAATATTTTTGCAACAAAACATAATATAGTAACTAAAATATTTTTTATTACCGCTAAAAAATCTATTTTGTTGTAGTGATTAGGGGTGTACAAAATCGAACCGAAAATCGAACCAAACCGCAAACCAAGTCAAACCGGAAAAATACCCGACTAGTGGTTTGGTATTGGAAAAAAAAAACCCGACTATATTTGGGTTGGTTTGATTTTAACTAAAAAAAACCAACCCGACATCATATATGTAATTTTAAATTTTATTTTATACATAAAAATATTTACTTTGATATAATCTTAAAATATTTCTTATATTATTTCATAGTTTTTATATTTTAATATATTATTTCAAGTTAGAATTCGGAATGGTCCAATAAAGATTATAGTTCATAGATGTTGATAATTATAATAAAACTTAAATCAAAATCAAATTAATACTAATGCAAAAAGAAAATCAATTCAACACTAAGAATGACAATAATATTGAATATTTGTTCTTTAGTTTTACATTGGTTTAGTATCCCAACATAACTTATCCCATCATAACTCATATTCAAACCAAACGACCCCTAAGAATGACAATAATATTGAATATTTGTTCTTTAGTTTTACATAGGTTTGGGAAATTAAAATACATAATTTAATTTTAATTTTCCTTAAATATTTAGTAATGTAACTAATACTTATTAAACTTATTTTAGCATGATTTATAACTTTTAAATTATGATCATTTTCGTTATGACTTTGTAATATTTATTTTATATGATGATTTCATTATTATTTTTTATTGAATATTTTAGTGTCATCAGTACTTATCTCATATTTTGTGTTATTTTCTTAAGAAACACCTTAGATAATTATATTTTGGTTGGACTAAAAAAATATTTGGAGCACAAGTTAATTATATGTTTGTATGCAAACTTTATCGAAAAAATCCAAAAAATCTGAAAAAACCCGAGGTTTATTAGTTTGGTTTGATTTATTAATTTAAAAATTTGACACAATGGTTTGGTTTGGTATTTGAAAACCCGAACCAACCCGAGGTTGAAAAATCTGAAAAAATCCAAATTTTTATTAGTTTGATTTGGTTTATAAATTTAAAATTTTTACACAAATGGTTTGGTTTGATATTTGAAAAACCCGAACCAATCCGGTTATATACACCGCTAGTAGTGATATATGGACAAAAAGATGTGGGCAATAAGGTCGATCAGTCAAAGTTTGGAACTTTTCATTTCTCTTTTGTTTCGAACCTTTGAATGATAAAAAGTGAAACCTATCTATAGAGAAAAGAAATTAAAGTAGTCGCATATGCAAAAAGGAAAATTAAAGGAATGAACTTGTCATGCACGTACGTGTTTATATTATTCATTCTGCATGCATAATTTACCTATTTAATTGTTTCTTATTTATGAATCAATCTCCTAACTTCCTTTTATATTTTAATTAGTCATCCAAAATTTATTCTCCCCTAATTAGTACCCCCTTAATTTGTTAAGTTTTTGAGATATACTAAAACATTAATTAAACTTGGTGTAACTGTAGAGTCTATGATTGGTGAAAAGAAGTTACATTTCATATGTGACTCTTTTCTTTAATTAGTTTTATTTTAGATAAAAAAAATTATTTAATTATAATTTAATATTTCAATTTTTCGATTTGTACCTTTAACGATACTAGACATGTTGTTATAGTTGCAGAAACATCATTATAACAAATTTGAAACCACATGTCGTAGCACAAATATTTTGTTTTTTAAATGGAGGGTTCAATCAAAAGGTATCACGTAAAATAAAATCGAGAGGATAATTATTTAGATTATGAGAGCAAGCTCTGTTCTAGTTGTCAAAATTAAAGTAGCACAAATAGCAGTAGTTGTAGCAAATTGTAGAAGAAGAACAAAAAATGGTTTCATAACCTTCATATGCATGCAGAGTCAAAATTTAAAGTATATAAACCTAGAATTTTATTATTTCAAACGCGAATTTTGTATCTTAATTTCTAACTCCGCCTTGTAGTGATGAATATAGGGATATCCTTCAATATTCACATATACATCACATCAGTACACATCCACTCTCACTACGTACGTACACGATTATTGGTGGCTTGCCTTTTGACCGTTTTGATTTTTGAAGAATCTTATGCTTTCTAACTTTTTAATTTGTTACGTACCCAATCCGTTTGTTAAAGAGAAAAAAAACAAAGGAGCCATGTCAAAGAGAATAATTGTCTGTATATCCTTTTTTCGTATTTTTAAAGATTTCTCCAATGAAATAATTTTTTGGAAAATATTATGTTAAATGTATTTTCCTATCATCAACACTTCATTTAAGTGGTGAACCACAAATTTGCATACTTCTATGTTTGTGATTAAAGTTTGACTCCGCTTTCGTAGTGAAATTTCGATAACAAGTATTTCATTGATTCAAGAATAAGCAAGAGTCCTTTGAGTTGACGGTCTTGAAGAGAATTAATCAGATAATTACATTTTTCTAGTGATGATTTTAATTATAAAGATTATAAACCTCATACAAATTATTGAGACTAAAATATTAAATATTTATTGCTAAAAAAACAACTCCATCCATCCTCACCATCCACCGATTAGGGCGGGTCTTTAGAGAATGGAATTCAACAATTTTTACTCATATATAAAATTTTATCAAATATTTATAAGTATTTAATTATAAACTCAATCTATTATATATTAATTTAAAATTATAATAAAATTTTAAATTTTAAATTCTGAGTTTACCTCACTCGATATCCTACCTAGTAGGCTAGCACATGTCGCTCCAATCCTAGTTCCGGCACCACCCCACCACCCACTCCTTCACACAATCACTTCTTAAATCCATCCTGTCTCTACCTTCATATTATTTATTATTATTATATAAAACTTATTTAAATGAAAATATATAAAAACCTAAATGTTCTCTGGCATATTCATTCATACTCGTTACGTATTTTTCACCTTAATTTGTTGACAGTCCCATACTAGACAATATTTAGGTCTGAAAACACGTGGCACACAACTTACATAAAATCATTCTTACATAACGTAAACAATTAATTGACCGCGATAAAGATTATTATATAAAGAAAGGGAACAAATTTAATTAAAAGTCATCATCAATAAGGTTTGTTTAGTCGATGGAATTAGAATTTAGATATAAATGGATATTTTTATGAGATTAGCAATTTCACCTCCTCTATGGAATAGCTTCGATGAACACAATTATTTCTAATTTTATACCCTTCTAGTGCAATATTTTTCTCTTTTGCATTATTTTAGTTATATGCCAATTTTACGGATAATAATTGGAGATCATGATAATTTACCAAAGAATTATTGCAAGCAATTTATTATAACGATTAAACTGTGTTAATGGTTAAACTAATTAATTTTCCTTTATCGGCTAACTTAAATATTTATCAATTAACTTGTAGTTTATGTCGACTTTTTTTTCCCAGAAAATATATATATGGCTCCACTTATCAAGATAGTTGCAATCATTTTTGAAAAGGATAAATAATGTCTTAAACGTATTAAAAATGCTTTTCTTTCATTTATTGGATTAAATTTGTCCCTTCTTCCACTTTTTTTGGCTCAAAAATGTCCTTAATGTACTAAAAATAGATCAAATTTGTCTTTAATGCTATTTAAGCCTGAAAATAATGTCAGAGACAAATTTGATCCAATAGGTAGAAGGATGACATGTTTGAATCATGTTATAGTAAGGGTGTTTTGAGCCATTATAAGGTGGAAGGAGGATCAAATATCCCGTTGGTAAAAAGAGACATTTTAAAATCATTTCTAATACGTTAAAGAACATTTTTTATTCTTTTCAGTAATTACTTTTGGGTGATTTATTAGA